CCCAGGAATGTCGGCACTCCAGGAAGGAAATTGCCTCCTTCGCCTCCCTGCTCAGACCAGGCCTGAAAAGTTGCATAGGCAAAGGAATTCCAGCAGATGCGCTTTTCTCGCTTTTCTCACCCCTGCAGGCTGCCTTGGTGCCTCAGAGCCCGTTTCCTGCATAGTCTGTTAAAATTAGGTTACAGCATAATCCTGTACATGGTTCCTCAGAGGGAAGCCCCACTTGGGGGCTTACTCTGTAAAAGGTGTGTCAGGATTGCAGCATTAAAAGGTCTGCTGCTTAAGGAGGTGTTGGCACTCAGGTGCAATTTGTGCCTAGCCTGCTGCTTGCGTTACTCCCCGTCTCCAATGACCGATGTGGATTGTATTTACTCTGTGATAAAGAAAAGCCATTGCATTCTGGCATTTTAATGTGTCCTTTAGTGCATAGTTAAAACAAATCAGTAGTGTAGAGGACAGGAGGCAAAGGAGGCCTGGATCCTGTACCTTTTGTCCATGTGTATAGCCAGGGTTTTCTGAAACATGGAGTTTTTCGCACCTTCATACATCACAAGCTCAACCACTAAAGTCCCTTTTCTATGCACCTGCTTAAAGCTTAGAGCTTTTGCCTGTCGTCATTTCCACCATTGGTAATTAAGTGCTTCCCTTTAAACACTAACACAATCTTTGAATTTCAGGATCTCCCCTCCCTCTCCAGGAACTTTTAGCATAGTGTTAAACTAAAACTACACTGAATGATGGATTTCAAAGTATGTTGAAACTTTGGTAAACAAGCAGAGCAGGAACCCAAAGGGTATTAGAGAAAGAAGTTGACACTACCAAATAAAAGCCTCTCTTAACAAGGAAGATATTGTTAGCTTATGGCTGTTTTTGTTTCCCAAACAAGGTGAATCACCTTCCCCACTGAGGACTAGGTCCCTGCCAAGTTTATTGAACAGGGAAACTGTTTCACCCCTTTGTGCAAACTTTTCAAGCTATTTGTGGTGGTGTGAGAAAATCTTCGCCCTACCCTGAATGCCTGTACTTTCTAGAAGCCGCTAATCTCTTACTAGTACATTTATATAAATGAACTTCGATTAATGTTCTTTTCATCTGGTCAGTTGAGGTTTTGTGTGTCAAAAGGCTTGCTGTTTTTATTGGTGGCGGGGGGGTGGGGAGCTAATGTAATCCAATGCAGAAATCCTGTGACTGCAAGAAGTTTTCCGAGTTTCGAAATCCTCGCTGGAAAGACTTTCCAGTCGTTGGCCAAGATGGCACAGGATGTGCTTGGTGTGATGGCGTCAGCAATAGAAAACTAATAAAGAGTGTGGGATCCAGTGGTGCAGTGCTAAATTTTGAGGTGTGGCTGCTCTCCGTAGGTATCCCCAAGCAGCGTCTACAAGTTTAGGAAGCTGTGTTGGTTTATATCAACAACCTGCTTCTTGCAGTGCTCCCTGCCCATACTGTAAGGGCTCCAGCAAAGCTCAAGGGAATTTGGGGTTGGGGGATGGCAGAAGACCTGAACATCCTTTCTAATCAAGAAGTGTGGCACTGCTACATCACTGATGAGAGAATGGAATGGACCATTTGCCTGTGGGGGGGGGGGAGGCCATGTGAAGGGGGGTAACCCGGGCCCTAAAAAAGGGAAGAACTTGGTGTTTGGGGGGGGGGGGGGGGGGGTAGAGGAAGAGATAGGCCTGCTAGGTGGGCAATGAGTCCAGATTGTTTTGCTTTTATAATAGCTGTGGCTGATGGAGCAGTGGCTTCACCTGCTTCTTTCCTCCTCCAGTTCTGCCTCCTACACCCCTCTACCCAACTTGACCCAATTGCAATTTCAAGGCCCCTGTTCTTCTTTCGGGTGGCCTTTGAATGGAGGACTGTGCTTTGTAAATTATGTCACTTGGCCCCCTTGAGGAAGGGAAAAGGCCTTGAAGTCGCTCATCATCAGCACCTGGGATGCAGTTTGAGCTGGGACTTGGGTCACCTGATCCCAGTCTTCCCCACTATGGTAGATGCATTGTACTTGCATTTAAATTATAGTCATTATTTCTAAATTTGAATGTGCAATTAGTACGTGCACTTTTTATGTAGATGAGTGTTCTTCTTTGTTCTCTCTTATGGTGAAGCAGAAATAACCACTCGAGCCCAAACAGTTACGTTAAGAACTGGAAGCTGCATTGAAATGTGCTCTGCAGCTTCAAATTAAAAATTGGAGATAGTTTTGACGGCTGCATCTATACAAGTACTACGATTTTATCTCTTTTAACTATTTTAGACCACCTTTAGGTTGACAGAGGTGTAGAGGAAGGCTATCTGTGTGGGGTTTCAGCAGGAGGAAGAAAGGGAGAAGAATGGCATTTGGGGCCTTGAATGTGCACAGCTAAGCTTTGCCAGAGGGACTGGTGAGGGGATTGAGGAGGCAGGAAGGGAGTATTGCCAATGGATGGATGAAAGAGAATGTGATGGGAAAGGTCATAGAATGAGCACTAATTTTCACATATTGTTGAGGCTGCCTCAAATATTTTTCTATCTCAATATTGGACCCAAAGTAAAGTTTCCTGTAAGTGGAGGGATGGACCCTAAGATTTTGCATATCAGCTTGTCTCAGTCTCCTTTGGTTTAGCTGTGTTCCTGAGCTGCTTGTTTTGCCCAGGTGTCTTCTAGGTTACAGCTTTTTGTCATTTCCCCACTTCTTGGATTAGACACATGAATGATCCCAGCCAGTCAGGGATTGTTAAGTAAACAAGATAATAAGATGATGTCACAATGCCATGTAGCCAATCTGAGTTAGCTAAGTTATGGTATCACTGCAGGAAGATAAAAACAAATTGAGGGAGAGAATGCAAAAGAGATTAAAATAGATGAATAAACATTTGCACAAGCACTGCAAAAAGAAAAGGCTACAAAGGAGGACATTTTCTTGACACTGCAGAAAAATGTTCTCTACAGAGAGTAACCAGAACCAAACCCAGGGCCCAATCCTCATTTTGGGGGTCCCAGTACAAACATACAAAACAAGCCCCATCACACACACACACACACACACACACACACACAATGTCATGTTTTCTACTTCTAGCCAGACATGAGAGTATTTTGAGTGTGGGAGAGTGTACTCGTGTACTCGACATGCATTCACATATTTCACGCCAGTAAATCCTACCAGCAGCACTGCCCTTGGGCTCAGTGCCCCTAATTACTGTAGTGCTTTGTCCCAGCCCCTAACAGTCTTCCTTGCCTGCCTGTGTACAAGGAACTCTGAGACTAGTAGCTTTCGAGAGGACGTGTCACATGAGTATAAAGCTGTTTGTCTCTGCAATGGCAGGTCCTAGTTCAATTTCATCCACTCTGTTTGCACTATAGAAGGACCTGGAGCAGATTGTTGCCCGTTGCCGGTTCTGCTCTTGCCCCACTTCAGTTTAGTTTCAGTACATTTTGCAGGATCTAGGCCATAGCTACATAGGTACAAAGCAACAAGCTTCCACAAATACAATCAAGAATGATCTACAGTTGATTTAGCCTCAGTTTTTCCTTTCATTCATTCATTCATTTTCCTTTCAATTAAGCTGCAGCCTGGATCCTTGGGCCCTAGTAAAGTGTATCCTGCTCACACCCACATCCTTGGTCCCTGGCCAAATAATTGGCCATATGTCTTTAATTCTCCCTGAGATCTATAAAGAAGAATCCCAGCATCCCTTGAATGGTGATAGCCACATAAGGTAGCCATATATGAATTGCAAACAAGAGGATATGTATCATCACAAAAGAGGACAGAGATTTGTATAAAATGTACACATGCTAATGCAGGTGTCCCCATTGTGGCACAAGTGACATAACACCCATGGGAACCTATAGCAATGTCCACAAAGCTCTTCATTCACTGCCCACTTAAAAAGCAAACATTTTGAATTAAAATTTGAAATATATAAGGACATGAGGGTCTCCTTCTTCTTCTTGAACCTGCTGCTCTTCAGGAAATGAGGTGGAAGGGAAAGGAAGGGCAAGGTTGGGGCTGGACATGGGGAGAAGCAACGAGGCTAGGAAGAGAGAGAGAGAAAGCTAGCAACAGGCAAGGGAGACAAATAGCGAGGAAAGGGGCTGCGTGAGGAAAAGCAGTGAGGCTAGAGGCTGAGAGTGGAGAGGCAGAGAGAAAGGTCAGCCCTTGATGAAGGCGAGCCTGTTCTTTGCAGACAGCCATTATCCGGTCTTCTTAGAGCTGGCCACATTATGAGGTTGGGTCCGGCAGCTGCCTCAGGCGGCACATTTTAAGTGCTGTTAAGGATGGATGGCAGATGAGCGGGAACAATGGGCATGGTCCGTGGGTAAATGATCCCCCAGGAAGAGCTCTTGCACCTGCCATGGTGACATGAATGGAGGATACACAAGAGCTCTTGCTCGAATCCCATTGGACTGCCCTCCCCGTGCAAAGCCCATGAACTGACAGCCAGCAGACGAGCTTCCCAGGAGTGGATTGTGAGCCACACTCTAATATTTAGGGTGAGGAGAGTGCCATTTAGATTTTCCTCCCTGCGAAATAACGTCCTTCATAAATACCTTTTTGACGCCCCTTAAAAATGGAGTTTGGATGACATCCTTGTAAATAAAACTGTTAGAGAAATAAGGGTACACAGTTGTTCCACACTATCGCAGTCTGTTCCAACCTGGGGCCCTTCACTTGTCTCGGACTTCAACTCTCATCAGTGTCTGTCAGCTTGGCCAATGGCCAATGGGAGCTGCAATCTGAAATATCTGGAGAGAATCGAGTTGGGGAAGGCTGTGCTATCCAGTGAGAATAGGACCGGCAGACTTCAGAGTAAATCTTTAGCCACGTGAGATCTAAGAGTATGATGTTTGTAAAGCTGAGATAGAAGCTAACTGGTTTCACTAGACATCACCTGCATCTTCTAAGCCCTTTCCTGCCAACGGAGGATTAGAAACATTAGCAGATCTCCAACACTGGAAATGCAATTATTTTTGAACACTTCTGAAAAGTTCCCTTCCCTTTTTAAAATCCATATCAGCCGTGCAGCGCCTAGCACAAAGCCATTTGGAATCCAACACTTCCTGGATGGATGAAGACTGTGCTGAGGATGCTGAGGAAGATGAAGAGGATGAAGAAGAGGAGGAGGAGGAGGAGGAAGCACAGGATTCAGATGACACTGTGAGGGAGATGCCTGGACTGTGTAAGCCTGGAGGTAAGCAATGACTTACAGTGAGCAGACAAGTGAGATGGGGAGTGAAAATGTGAGGCCAGCAGGGGGCAGCAGAGAATCCCACCTTAAGCTTTGCATTGCAGAACCAGGTAGTTGCTCCACCCCCTCCCCCACAGCTTATTATTCAGATATTAATTTATTTTGGACCCTTCATATCGGTGCATTTCTTAACCAGTCTAGCACCATTACAGTCAGCACAGTACCAACTTTATGTTGTCATTGCTCTTGCTGTATTTGATCAGTACGGTATATGTGTATAATACCTAAATGTATGTCCCCAACCCTGAGTCACTCAGTGAAATCCTTCAGACTATGCCCATTTGTATGGCAAAGTACAAAACTGGAAAGAACAAGCACAGCATTCTTGATTAGATAAGACAATAGAAACTAGTCCAGTTTTTGGCTCTAGCTTGCTCTGAATGCTGTTGAGATACAAATAGAAATCTATATAGTCTACAATGCACTTGTAGACTATATAGATTTATATAGGAGTCTCCTATATAGTCCAGAATCAGAAAATTCAAGGGTGCTGTCTCAGAATGGCATGCGCTTTTTTGCTGTCTTGATGCAACATCTGATCACTTTTCTCAAGCTACAACAGAAAGATGCATAGATGGCATCTTTAACTGCAAAGGTCCTTCTAGTCTAGCACCCTCTTTCTAGACATATAGCACACAAAGGAGGCATGATTTGGAGGTCCAGATAATAATCATCACTTTCAAAGGCTAATACAGAAATAATGCTTAATATGTACCTGCACACCAACTGGCAATGGGAAGTACTCCAGCTGTTACTAGGACAAACTGTCATAGCCCACAATTTGATCCTGGGTAATTTCTCTGCCTTGTCATGGACTCCTGGATCATGTGTAATGCTGACACATCCATCAGCCACGGATGGCAGATCTGTGGCTTGTTTAGGCCTTCTCACCTGCAGCAAGATAGATCAGGCAGCATGCACTAGCAGACTGTCTCAGTCAAGGTAGCCCAGAGTATTCTTTAAAAAAAAATCAGGATTATTGTGCTGGTGAACTGGGCCTGTTCTTGATTTTTTTTCCAGTCTAGGCCTTACCAAACAGTTCCCAGTTATTTAAGACCTAAATTTTGTGTGCAGAACATGTTGATGGCAAGGAGAAGCTGCATTTATGCAAAGGTTCCAGTATACGTACAGTTAGTTATTACAGTCTCAATAAAACCAAGAAAAAATCATTCTAAGTCTTGTACTCAATAGGATTTAACTATAACTATCTTTAATTGGAATGGGGTCACTATCTGGAAAATGCATTTGGAAAACATTAATGGGTCTCTTGCTTCAATCCAAAGCTTAGATTTAGCTGGACTTTCCCCTCCCCAAACTAAATTCCACAGTTGGTTATTTCAACTGAGTTATGGAATTAATTTTCCTGCAGGTTGTTTTTAAAAGGGTAAGATAAATCCATGGGGGATGCATCTTAATATCCTTGAGAAGCCGAACCTCTAGGACTATAAGCTTTGCTGCAAAGCTGGGCTGGGGGGCAAACAAGGCCACGTCCATCCATGCCCTGGTTGTGGGACCACAGAGGTTATCTGCTCCTGGAGACAAAAAAATTGTCTAGCTGGACCCTTGACCAGATCCAACAAAGGGATGACATCCTTAATCAGGAAAACTGAACTTACAGTTCTGATGATCTATCAACTGCCAGGCAGCTGTCAGGGATTTCCACAAGTTTTTGTGGACATCCCACGAATTTCACTGAATATCAGACTTTTGTTCCAAAATTTTTTTACTGCTCTATATTAAAAATCCCACAACAAACTCCTGGTCTGCTTGTTACATTCTCCCTACTTTCATTTTTTAAAGCATTTGCCTCTGCTCAGGGTGATTTCTCAAAGGTGGCAGTGGGGAGCAGGTCTGATTCTTGAGGTCATATAGTTCCCAGGCAGGTGGGCTGTTGTTACCTTGGTGACATACTTCTATTTAAAGGGCTTTCACCCACTGTTAGCCACGGATCCTACTCAACTGGGAGTGCACTGCGTGTATTGAATACATTTCCCTTCATTTAGCACCTCTGCTGTCAGGGAGAAACCTGTAAATGCCCCCCCCCCAACACACTTCTTATCCCACTATGGGGAGCTGCCAGTCTCCTAGGAAACCAGCTTTCTCCCTCAGCAGGAAGGAACTAAGATGGGAGAGGTGGCATCTATACAAAGCATTCTTCTCTTTTCCGCCCCCAGTCCCTCTGTCCATATATTCACTTCGTCTTGCTATACAAGAGCAAGGGTCTGAAACTTGAGGTGGTTGCTAAGTATCTGGGGCTTTAAAGCAGACCTTGCTGATTTCAGATCGTCATGAAATCTATCTGCGTGGGGCTTCTTTAACTGGCAAAAAAAATGCAGCACGTGGATCTAGCCAGGATTTCCACAAACACGGTTGCAGCTGGACAGTTTGTGATAACTTGCTGACGGCTCATATTCTGTTCACCCAGAACTCAGACCTTGCTATCCATTTCTTTCCCTTCACTTCTGTTGCACTGCACCTGCAGCAAAAACGAATGTAGCAACCCCACTGTATTGCGGCAATAAAATCTTTGAATGACTGTCTTGGCCATACCGTCTTATCCAGGCTAATATGTGTTCATTATTTCTTACAGTATCTCCGGGACAGAAGCATCCAGGTTCTGGTTCCAAGGCAACATTGCTCAGGCAATGCACTGGTAAGAAAACAGCTACCTTTCATGCCAGATCCATGTGCTAGTGAAATATCTTTTAATTGCATACTGGGCAGAGTGATCCTATGGCCCCTCGATAGCATCTAGAGGGCCACAGGATCTCTGGCTTCCCAGCTGTTGGAAGGCTTTGAAGCTGGATGCATATCTCCCTTCCCCTGTAGCCAGTGCAGAAAGAAGCATATCAGTTGTATCTCCAAGGTCATATCAGTCTTGGAGAAGGGGTGAAGCTGGCGTTCCAGGGAGGGGAGGGAACAGAAGACTGTGGGCACTCCAGCCTCCTTCCTTGCTTAATGTGCTGTAGTGAGACAGCCAAAATCGGCTGCCCAGCACTAGCAGATCTGCAGGGCAAGTGGAGCACAGAGGCAAAGATCATATGCAAGCTTCTCCACTCTGCAAAAGAGGCCCATAATTCTCTGAGTTCAGAAGTCTATGGGCATCCCCCTAAAGCAGGCAACACTATATGAAATGGTGGGTCCAACATACAGCCCTCGAGGTCTTGTTCTGCAGTCCTCTTGCCTCTGGGAGCTCCCCAGTTCCCTCCCAGTCCACATCCCAGTGATGGTACGGGCATGATTGTGGCAAGCTTTCTCAAGGCCACCAGCCCGTCCTGCTCCCTTCCTGAGGCTGGAGGCCTCATGAGAAGCCACTGCAGCATGCCCCACGCTGCTTTAGCTGGCGAGCACAAAGGTGCTCAAGAACCCTTGCACTTACCAGAAGGAGAGTTCGTCAGCTCAAGAGGCTCAGTGCATGGATTCCAAGAAGGAAGGAGAGGCGGGGCAGGGGGGTCACATGGGAGGGTTTCTGGCCATGAGAAACAGGGAAGACAGGGATGGGCCACCCCAGAGGAGCAGGCATGGGTTGGGCTGTGGTTGGAGAAGGAGCTGCGTGTGATCTCTGCCCTCATTTAATGATTAAGTAAATATATTGATTTTCTGTATTAAATTGCAAACACTTTAATTTATGATACGGAAATTTAATTCATTGTGTGACCGCTGGGTTCCTTGTTGAAGTCCTCATAGCTCTCGAGGTATGACAAGTTGGACAGCCCTGCTATAGTAGAAGCAAAGGTTGGAGCTCGTAAGTGTTTTGCAGTTGCGCAGAGAGGGAATTTCAACACGTGCTGTTTTTCTCACCCCTTCATGCTGGACTGCATATGTCCGGATGCCTTCTTGTGCGTAACTATGAAAGGTACAGGAACCCTGCTCATCTTTACCTCTGCGCTAGAGAGAGCTCTGGTCTCACGGTTAAGAAGGGAGAGATGGCTTTCTTCTGGGGAATTTAGGAAGGAGCCACCTTTGCATTGTGCTTTTGAGAGCAGAACCAACAATTTGGATAGATAAGATAGATACAGGGCATGTTACAGCAGTGGAAATCTGTTGCAGGAGGAAGACAAGGCAGCTCTCAGGCTGGTCAGGTGTAAACCAACCTGAGAGCTGCAGAATTATTAGAAAGGATACAAATGTACTTAATTCAGCTTCCTGCCACAATACAGGCCCTTCCACTGAGCAAATTCTGTTCAGGGTCGTCTCTGCAATCGAATTCAGAAGGTTAACTTGCAATCAGGACATTGCACAAAAAGACTCACAGTGTTATGTGAAAGAAGGCAGACCTCACAGTGCAAGGAAAGAAGCAGAAGAGTGGCTTGGTGTTTCTGTATGTTAAGAAACTTGCTGTTTCAGGGTGGGAGGGGGGATTTGAAGAGGGAAAAACATGCCTTCAATTTTTCTTCTGCTCCTCTTTCCTTCTCCTTTTCTTTTTCCTGCTCCTTTTCCTTCTCCCTCTCCAATCTTTGCAATGACTTCCTGAAAAGTCTTGGAAAATAAACCCAAGGAACCTGAGCATCCTGTCTATCCAGCTCTCTCCAAATCACAGAAACGGAAAGGTAAATTTAGGTCCTACAGTGTAGGCCTTAAGAGAGGTTTGGGTAGGGGAAAAAGGGTTCCTGTACTGTAGAGGTGGACAGATGCGTTTCAGTGACAGCAACCCTGCTGCCTTTGGAGTACACGCTTGTTTGGTTTGTCTTGCTGCTGTCTCTGTTCAAAGCGATTATGCTTTTCCGAGCCGCTGCAAAAACTTGCAAAAGCTGGAAACAGAATCAGTGATGGGATGAGCATATATACCACAGGATGTCTCTCTCATGCCTCTGTAAAAGCCCTTGTCTGTCTCCAGCCCTTGTTGCCATGGTCACGGGATCCTAGGCAGAGCTGAGGATGTTTTATGAGCACAAGGGAGGATCTGCAACAAAACATCAAATGTATCCCCACCTCATAACAGCCCTTAGATCGGAACCACCTACCACTGGAGGGGGGCGAATGCTTAGAGAAGGCATCCTTCTCCTTCCTCTGCTGTGCTATATACTAAAAGGCTTATAACCAGGATTGGCTGCCAGCCCTGAACCTGAGGGTGATTTTATATTGTCATGCTATAGAGCAGTCCAGCAGGGGTGCAGAACTGCCGCCCCAGAGACCAAGTTGCCCCCCAGAAGGCCCCACTCCCTTTCCTCAACCACTAATCATGTGGGGTTTCTGTGGTTGTTTTCCCATTCTGAAAGGCTGCCTTGCCTCCCCCAGGGCTTAGTTACTGGCAGTAAGAACTTAGGGTGGCGTTTTTGCATTCTTGCCTTTGGCCCTGCCACACTGGAGCACTGCTCCTGAGCGAGCGCTTCTTCGAAATGGGATTTGGCCCTTGGGGTGACAATGGCGCAACAGTCCTGTGGCATAGCAAGGGGATTGTTTTAAATTTTCAAGGAGCCTGTCTTCCTGGCCCTAATGCTCTCCTGACCCTAAGTTGTTTGGGCTCAAACAGATTTGCTCCCTCCACTTCCTCTTCTGGCTCTCAACTGCCCCCCACCCCACCCCACAACTCCATGCAGTTAATTTCTAGAATCACACAGCTCCTGACTTCCTTCAAACTGTTTGTTCCCCTCGCTGGGGCACAAGTGGGAGCTGCCAATAGAAAAAAACAGGATTTAGCGGTGTGTGCATGTGTATCCCAACAAAAGCTGAGTTCTTGGATTTGCTACTCCCACTGAACCTGGAGCTTCCCTTTCCAATCCATGAGATGATTTGCTCTAAAGTTTTTTTTAATGTTTGTGCCTTTAGTATCCCAGAGCTCCTGGGAGCTCAGAGGCCCTGGAAGATTGGTGTTGCCATGTATGGGTTTAACTTTATAAAAATTTCTTTTCCCTTTACAAACAAACACACACACACACACACACACACACACACACACACACACACACACTGGTTCAACTAGAGAGTCCCCGCAAGTATATAGAGTCATGCAATTCTATATAGGGTTGTAAGACTGTATTTTAATAGCAAGAATCTTTTCACAAGCCCCACTCACAAGCCATTATTCCATATTGTTGAGGGCTCTTCAACACCTACTTCTCCTACTTTATGTTGTATATAGTCCTGTCACCCACTGATTTAAACACCAAGTGGGTAATGATATATATATATATACACACCTACTTGGTGTTTTTATTTATATATATATATATATATATATATATATATATATATATATATTGCTAAAAACATTCTAGAAAAAGACTCTTTGTGCTGTAAGACTCACACTGCAGGCATAACAGTACATAATGTTAAAAGCCTGAATTTTCTTTAAAAAATACTGAATGGATGGGAGTGTCCATTTTGAACTGGGAACACAGTGTACAGAGAAAGGGGGAGTTAACCCTTCCTTCCCCCAACATGATCCTGACAAAAATCTCCTGCATTTCTCACATACTGCAATTCGTGATTGAAGAAAGATCCCTTGGCGCTGATGGAAACATTTTTTCCTCATGAAAGCGCTTGAGCTGAGTCGTGGGCAGCAAGGTGGTATCCTACCACACTAGAGGAATTCCCCTCTGAGGCAGAGCTAGAAATCACAGAAACATGGGGAACAACGTTATTCTTTTAGCGTGGCTCTCTGACCTTGCCTTGGCACTTTGTTCTGCTGATGTTCAGACTCCCTCTGGACTGTGTGTTGTATCTGTCAGCTTCCCTGTGCTTTGACCTTCACCTGGATGGTGACCCCTCCTGCTCTAGCCTGATCCCATATAGGACGGAAAAAAATTGTGCTTGACTGTTTCCCTGTTTTATTACCTTGCCTTTTAGATCGCCCCATAATTTGCTGTAATGCTGAGTCCAGTTCTGCACTTCGGCTGGGCAGGAGTTGGGACTAAAAAGTAATCATATCAAGATCAGAGGCAAACTAGGGGTCAGGACCAATGAATGAGACCATGAACACAAGAGCTCAACTGTTGCTCAACCAGTTCCACCCACATGGGAAGTCCTTTTAGCTTACTTCCTTATCTGGTGGATCCAATGACCAGTCAGTCCAGACCACAAGGCCCCAACCTTTTTGGCCCTGTAGGCAAATTGATGAATGTATGACACTTCTCTGGGTACCACCAAAAATGGCTTCCATGGAAGGTAGTTACCTAACAGCTGCCACAGGGGCCTGACTCATCAGAACTGAACTAAAGAGGCTTATGTGTTGGTGGCAGCGAGAGAAATAGTGAGGCTTGAGGCTGGGTGGAGCAAGGCAAGACATAGGGGGTAAAAAGAAACAAAAAAGGAGTTAAAGAGGGAGTGGAAGGTTATCCTAATATTTGTTAGGGTTCTTATTTAAAAATGTTTTGATGAAGTCAGGGAGTTGAGAGTTTGTGGGTGCTGTTGGAGGTCCACATGAGTGCTGCATTGGAGTCCCCTGGACTAGGTTTCTTCACTGAGAAGCTGTAATGACTTGGCTTCCCACACACACAGGGCAGTGGCCCATAATCCCTAGTAAGGAGGGAGGGGTTCCTAGTAAGGGATCCTAGTAAGGAGGGAAGGGTTAAACTTTCCTTCCCTACACTGCAATCCTGATTCAAAACTTCTCTCTCCACATTTTTATTATAGAAATCAACCTGCAGGCAACACATTTAATGTAATGCATATTAGGTCTCAATAAACCTTAATGATACATCCAACCAAAGAACAGTGTTTTATCTAGGACAGATACCAAAAAATAGACTATCTCCTGGTAAATAGAAATACAGGCAGTCCCTGAATTATGAATACCCGAGCTGTGAACAGCCCTTACTTACGAACTTCCATAAAGCAAAAATTACTGCAGAAAATAGTCATCACCATCATTATCACTCCTGTTGGTGTTACAGTAATAGCCAAAGAAAGTTGCATGGGCAGCAGGAGGGAAATGATTCAACACATCAGTCTGGAACTAGGCCTATCATTCTACTAAGCTTTGCACAATACACATTGTACATTCTACATAAGCTTTGCAGTGAAAGCAGCTGAAGTTTTCAGTTCCAGCGATATAAAGCCTGAAAAGTGTATACTTCATAAAGTCAAGACGATTTCTCTTATCAGCTTGAAATGTGTCATGGAGAATATACCTATGTGTGCTTGGGAATATAATACTGTCACTTTTTTGAAAATTCTGGTGAAGATGTCTGAATTAGAGCAGTCCAGATCATTCTGTTTTAGGCATCCCGTGTTTTCTACCATTTTGAACATACCCAGGATAGACCTTAAATTTCTCTTTCAGGCAATTTACACGATATAAAAAATGCAGGGATCTTCCAAACCTAAAACCACCAGTTTCAAAATGCAATTTTAATTGGCAGTTTAACAAAAGGAAAAAGACTGCAGGTGGCGCAGTGGTTTAAACTCCTGTGCTGCTGGGTGGTTGATCGAAAGGTCGCCAGTTCGAATCTGCACAACGGAGTGAGTGAGTTCCCATTGCTCCGTCCCAGTTCCTGCCTACCTTGCAGTTCGAAAGCATGCAAATGCAACTAGATAAAAAGGTACCACTTCGGTGGGCAGGTAACAGCGTTCCGTGCACCTTGGTGTTAAGTCATGCCGGCCACATGACCACGGAGACTGTCTGCGGACAAACGCTGGCTCCCTCTGCTAGGAAACGGAGATGAGCACCGCCCCCTAGAGTCAGGCATGACTGGACGTTACGTCAAGGGGAAACCTTTACCTTTACCTAACAAAAGGAAAGTGTTTCAGTACATGCACATCAGCAGATTGCTTTCCAGGAGACACTGGCCATTGCCAAACAGGCGGCGGCAGCGGCGGCTGCTGCTGCCAAAAGGCAGGAGAAGGGGAGCTGCTGTGATGGCTGTTGTGTGAGAAACTCTATGCATGAATTTGGATGCATTTGTATGAAGTGCCATTCCTGTGAATGTAGGTGTGCTCATCAGTTCACACAGCATGCCATTCAAATCTGCAAACAGGCTGTGTTGAAGGGGCTGTTCAATTTAGAATAGAATAACCAACTCATAGTGTGCCCGACAGGCATCTCAGCTCACCCACGGGTCGTTCGCCCCTTCTATCCTCTTGGTCCCCCAACAGGTGCCCGAGTGTGTACAACCCATCTTGTCTCACCATGCCTGTTTCCATCATGACTCCCTTTCATTTGCTTGTTTCTTCTTCTTTGGAGCTTCAAAACTTGGAATCAGCTTGGGTTTTTTTATTTTTTTGAGCCTGGGAATGTATGAGAATGTCTTCATATTGCTTTTAATCTTTTTTGGTTGGTCTTTTATGTTTGCACAAGTGTGTTCTTACAGCTTATATGTCTTGCCTGGTCAAATGCCCTTGTCAGTTGTCAAACTAACAGATTGAGGAGGTGAGACTGCATATAGGCTAAATTGCAAACAGTTGACAGTTGTTGGTTGCCAAGCTCTGAATGGAAAAGCATTGGCAAAGGGAAAAAGTGGCAGAGTAAACACACCAAAAAGGAATAGGCTTAAGATCTTCCCTTTAGCAATGTAATCCTCTGGATTTCTAACGTTGAACTCACACTTCTCAGTACCTGTCACCTTTTGGACACTTCCCCAAGTCTTCAGCTAATTCCATTCTATCACCAGGAGGGATGGTTTTTAAAAACTCTTTGGGAAATGTGTGATTGTTTTTGTTAAGGAAATATACACAGATTTCAATGCTTGGAAGTAAATGGAGGGCAGAAACTTCCCAGCCGTGAAATCGGCATATATTTCCCTGTCAAACAAAAGGGGAAATTTGACTGTGTTAAAAAAAATCCCTCAAAGGTGGCAGTATGGGAGGGAGCAAACAGGGAATCCCCCTCAGTGTGGCCTCATTCACTAGAGCTTTTTACTTTGGTTTTGCAAGCTATCAGCAAAGGCTCTGAAAAGCAGATGCCCTTAAGATTTCCCCTTTGTGGGCTTATTGGAGACTTGAGGAAGCGTCTGAAATGTGGAGGGACCTGAGAAGTGTGCATTCGGCACCAGCAGTTGAGAGGGTCACATTGCCAAGAGGACCCTCTTAAGACTGCCCACTTTCGGTGCACCAACTCTGCTGCTCTGTTCCTTTTGCCAGTGATTTCCATTGGACAGCTGCCTGTTGCCTTAGCTGTCAACCAGCCAGAATTTGGTTTGTCTGCACTCTCACCTCATCTATCTGTTCACATGTGACAGTTGAGATGGATGGTTCACATGACATGGCAAGCCACAGTGTCTTTTTAACCGTATTAAAAAGAGGTAGAATTTGCTTTTAAAGATGGTAAAAAGAGTGCCGGTTGCTACTCTTGCCAAGCAGCTAGCCAGAGAGCGCTAGCGACCGCTGTCAGAGGCATCCCCGCTCTGCTGCCTCCTGCCCTACAGATTTTCTTTTGGGTAGGAGCTGGCAATCAGCTGATTGCCACTGGAAAAGGAGCAGCACTGCACCGATGGTCCTCTGCTGTCTTCCCCACGCATGTTAGAGGGAAGCCCTTGCGCGTGTGAGCAGGAGCAGTGGGACTCAGTGGGGTGGTGTTGCCAGGCTGAGGGCTCTGCTGCTCAACTGATTTCTCTGCTCACCCCACCCCCATCTCACTCCCACCTGTGCAAGAGGCATCCTCAACCTCCAGCCAGGTGTCCTTCATGCAAGGGGCAGCAGCAAAGGGGGAGGCAGTTCTCAGCTCATTTTCTTGCTCCTGCTTGCCAGAAAGGCATTCTCAACCTGGTATCCCCAAGAACCCAGAGTTCTGGGTTTGGTGTAAACAACCTTGCAACAGGGCATCCACGGGTTACCACAATGGAAGTGGGCAAACACAAGGGAACCAAATATAATTATTTGTGTTGTTTTTAACAACCCATGGTTTGTCGGCCATTTGCAGAGGTCTTTGGCCTAGTTTGCAATCTGTGATAACAACATTCCAGTATTGCTGTTTCCCCCACTTTCTGGTGAAATGGTGACACCAACTATGGGATGCATTTTAGATCTACTATTTTTTAAAATCCATCAGACAAATGAGGAGGATAATGAGTTCAATATGGAAATAATGAAAATGGCCTGCCCTTAGAAGATCAATATAATTATTCCTGAGATGTAAAGTACAGTGTAAATGCTGTATAACATGGCTGCACTAAGTTAAACTTTGCCACCCTGCACATCCCTACCAGAGAAGGCTCATGGGATTCAGGAAATTTTCTTTCAATCAGCAAGCAAAAGCAACAAAGAAATGTTAAAGTTTAAGAGTTGGAAAGGCACTTATAGATTCATTCCTGCACCAGAAAAGGAAGAAACTGTAAGTTACATACATAAATGTGTTCTCTGCACATTTGGTGAAAAAATTAAGGCTAGTGTCTTAATTTACAATGGTCATATGTTGTGGAGCCTAAGTAAATGTTTAAGCACCTTAATTTTTCCCCAAGTATGTTTGATCTCAGAATTGTCTCACAAAGAAGCATTAACAGTTAGATCTCTGAGGCCTACAGCTTTTTGAAGGATTTTTGTGGCCAAGAGATTATTCCTTCTTGTTTGTCACTGTGAAGTTTCATCCCATCAGGTGGACAGAAAGTATCCTTTGCTGGATCTGTAGAGGAGGTCCCTGCTGAACTGGAGGAACCAGAAGATGCTGAAGAAGGGGGAGCCCAGGATCAACAGAACCAGGAAGCAGAATCAGGACAGGAAGATCCGCCACAAACAGGTAATGCAGGTAAACAATTCTTTGCCAGGCCTAGTCGTTGACTGCTCATTCTTGCATTTCTAGTTTTGCGGTGTCTGCATCATCTGTGTTTCTGTCTGTCTCACAACAAGCCTGTGGGGGCTCCATTATTCATATATTGTACCAATGGGAGAACCCACCTGAGACAGTGGCTAGCCTGAGGCCCACATTTCATCGCAACAGAGGTGGATCTTGGAGCCAGGGAGTCCCACAATCAGTTCTATAGCCCATGGGTTACATGCAAAAGTGCTTTTTGGCAGAACTATTAGAAGCGTGGAAGCCCTGATCACTTTATGATGTAAATGACTGTCCTGGGTCACCATGGACTCCCAAACTCTGAAACTGCAGGAATTTGCTGTGGCTCACCTTGCTGTACATTCAATTATCCTGTGTGAGGTTGGCTGGAGGAAGGTGACTGGCCCCAAATGAGCTTCCTCTCTGAGTAGCAAAATCAGAGGGTTGGACCGGGACTTGAATGATGTGGGTTCTAATCCACACTCAGCCATGAAGCTTACTGATGATTTTGGGACAGTCCCCAATTCAGAACTTAACCTACCTCACGGGACTGTTGTGAAGATACAGTGGAGAGAAGGGGAACCATGTTGGGCTCCTTGGAGGAAAGGCAAGATAGAAAAAAGAAGAATGTACATCCAGATCTTTGTTCAAATCCATGACCATGGAACTATAGCCATTGAAAAGTTGACTCACTTGTTTGACCCATTTAGAATTACCTGATCATCATGCATCTTGGCATTGAGTATCCGGTTCACTCCTGCTGTCCTTATTGTGGCACAATGTGGAGAAACAGATGAGGTCTTGGAGCTGAGAGTTGTCCATGACGACAACCAACTCATCCCTCCCAGCCTAGGATTCTGCAAGGGTAGTATACATGTTGCAGATCGGTGCATCTGTCATGGTTTTCACACAAGCAATGCTGGGAACTGTAATATTATGAGAAGAATCTCCTGAATCTCCAGGATTCAATGGGAGGAGCCATAATATTTGAAGTACCTTGACATTTTAAAAAATGCAGACACACAATAGTGCAATATAGCTTTTCCTAAATATTTTTCCTTGTCCTCCTCCTGTAGATCATGCCATGGAACTGAGTCACTCCAGCTGGGAAGAGAGACCTCCTTGTGCTCTTAACCTGGAAAACCGTTCCTCCCCACCCCCAATTCGTACTACTACCTAACGGCAGGAGGTGAAGGGTTGAGTTGGGAGCTGTCCATTAATGGAGAACTCTCATTTTTCACCAAGACAAATTGGATTATTTCCTTTAACAACTATTTTCTCTTTTATCCTATTTTCTGTTCCAATTTGGTCTTTCTTTTGGCAGTGTTTGGCTTGTGTTCAGTGAATTATTTAATACAGTGAAAGAGTGAATGGAAAGCCACTGGGCACAGAAACAAGGAATAAAGCTTCCACATTCAGAAATGGGTCAGTCTGGATGTCCAGGAGCTGGGGACAAGTGATAGAGTCTACCTATCTCTACCATGCTTTGCTTGTAAGGTTCCCTGGGGAATGAAGGGACATCAGGCTGGGAGCTGTCTGATGTACAGGGCTGGGCAAAATGCTTGTTTTGTGTGACCCATCATGGCAGCTCTTAAATGTTCGTGCCTCTGCTCATCCACATAGATCTGAATTTCCATAACTGTATTCTGTGAGACCAGTAGAAATGGTTTTATTAAGGGGATTCAGGTAACCAGGGTGCTTCCAGGCAGATGGCTCCTTTGAGCTACCAGACAAAAGACAGGTATTCTATCTTTGTCTTCTTGATGGATTTTTGGTGGTTCCAGACAGAAGGCTCCTAGCAGAAAGCATTTTGCAGCTGTTCCATATTTTTCTCCTTAACAGATTTTGTGGGGAAGGAAAATTATGAAAGAGCTGGTAGGAAAATACTCAGGGAAGGGCTCATGAGTAGAAGGCAACATCTGGATCCCTTTAAACTTCCATGAATGAGATAGGGTGATAGCATAAAAGCCTCCTCTGAAAGCAGCCTTTCTGTAGTTAAAAAAAGAAAGAAAACAGTGGGAGGAAATCCCAAATAAAAGGCAAAGATACCTGGAACTCCTGCAGTTCAGTGAATGTGGCAGAGAGACTGTACATTAAAAACCTTATCTGGAAGCAACCCTGGTCTGCAGGCATTGGCCATTAGATTTCTGGAAGCCTAATTTTGAATAAAAGTACAAATGTTCCAATAATTGGCAACCATAGCTGAATTTAGCCTGATAAGCTAGAGGGAAGATCATTAATTGGCCCATTTAGAACCTCTCTCACCCCCACCCCAATATTCCCCTCATCTCTCTGAAACCTACAAATCAAGATCCAGTTTCATAGTCAAAGCTGCTCTTTTGCTTTCTATGCCTTCATCACATTTCTCTCCCTGTGTACTAAGCAATGTCTTTCCATGTGCCTCTCTGCTCTATTAAAGTTTTGTAAATAAATAAAATGTTTAAAGAGTGTTTTATGGAGAAAGGAGTAGCCTCCCTCCTGAGGTAAGCAAGCTCCTCTTTCCCATGCCAGCCAAGAGCTACAAAAGCAAAGGTTTCCATTACTTTGCAGGATGTATTTTTTGCAAACTATTTGTAAGGGCATGAAGATTCAGTGACGAGATATTAGAGCAACAGGACCATTATGGGGAGTCACTATCCTGGCCTGTAGTAACTCCCAAATAGTGGGTGGGTATTCTTCCAGCGAAAACAGATCTGACATTTCTTTAAAGCCATTTTTCTAAAGAACAAATCTGAGGATTTTCTTTCTCTCATCCCACTAGAAAAAGAGCATTTTGTAGGATTTTCTCTGCACGTTCTCCACCATTTTTGCACCAGCTGCCATTTTCTCCCCAGAATGACACAAGAGCTGTAGCACTGTGAAGAACTAAGAATAGTGGCCAAGCTGCTAGCATAGTTGCTGCACTGACAGGCGTCAGCAATACACTGGGGATAAAGATTAGAAAATGGTGAACCCCATTCCTGAGAAACCATTGGGAAACTTCTACCCCTAGAAATTTAGTAACCTGGTTTCTTTCCTCACAAATAAGACTGAGAATTTTGATATACAATTATACAATCTGTATCTTCATTTGCATTCTGGCTTCCAGAAGGCAGCACAACTAAACCAGTCCCCAGGTTTTCAAGAAAGGAAATTCAGTAGCTATTTAACCCTTGATCACTAGGATTTGGCAGGACTGGGCAAGTCAGTGACAATTTCCCTCCCCAGCATATATGACATCCTTTTATGTGCATGCAGCTTGGAAAGTATTAATCAGAAAGGAGAGTGATAGAAATTTAGGCTATCTGCATAACTTTCCATCTATACTTATTTTAGACTAAGCCTGTACTTAATCTCACTGCTCACTTACTGTCTGATGCAAGCATGCCTATTTTATTTAGGAACGAGCTTTCACAACTCTCCTAGCATGGACTGATGGAAATTCTGTGCTTTTGGACGTTTTTCAGTGAGGTGCCATGAGATGTGTACAAAGATACATCTCCTAAAATGTGAAAATGGGTGTCCTTGTAAGGAGGTGCATATTTGGAGGTTAATATTTTAAAAGTTCTGCAGTAGAGCATGGCACTGTACCCTGTGGAAGCAGCTGGCATATTTGACTTGCACACGACCATGCTATGAATCACCTGTTCTTCGCTCATGGAAAAACAAGTATCCTTGTTTGCTTCCATCAGATGACTGGCTTTGTGGAACTGTCTGTCCATCGGATGCCTGTTTCCCCCACCCCCAACCTCATCTTCCACATCACTCCTCCCTGACTCTGCTCTTAGTAGACAGGAGAAGTGTGCTCACTTCAGAGGGGCCCTTTTCTGTTCATACAGAAATGGGTTTTTCATGCCAGCGCCCAGCTGAGACCATGCATATAGCGAGAGGCATTGTTGTTGCCAGAGCGGCACTTGCAACCAGCCATTTGGCCTTCTAGAAGGAAGTGAGTAAAGCCAGCTGGCTCCTGGCGGCCGCCCCACTTAAGGAGACAAGGGCTGTTTTCATGTTGTCTTAACTGCTTCAATCTTGCTTTCTCTTAATCAAGCCCGGGCAGTTTCCTGATCCTTTCCAGGGGAGCTGTTTGGAGCATGTAGCAGCTTGTTCTCATTTGGCCAGTACATGGCGTGATGGGATAAGATGGCAAGGTCTCGATGGTGGAAGGTTGCCCGAATGATGGCTTATTTATTATTTTTGTAAAGCCTCTGCATCATGGATGGCAGGCAGGCTGGTGTGTTTTGACTTGCCCAGAAAGGGAATTGATGCTGCATGTCCATTCCCACGTAGGGGATGTGGGGAGATGAGAGACAAGTCACCTTACACTGCAGAACTTGAAATTCTCTCTCCCTTTCCCCAGGGAATTAAATAAGAGAATTCTAAGAGAATTTAGAGCCCCATCACCATTCTTTTTTGTCTGTAGGAAAAACAAGAACCATAAACTGATATAAAACCAATATAACTTTCTATATTTCCTTCTCCCCAGACAATAAGACATTCAGAGCAGCCTCTGTGGTCTAAATATTTGGAAGACTAAAAACCCGGAAGGCTTCTGGCATCTCTGGAACTCTCTTGACAATGTGGCTTTCATGTCCTCTATGCAAAGGTATTTGTCAGCAGTCATTTCCAGTGAGTGCTTCTGTTGCGCTTCTGTTTCAGGAGGAAATCAAATTTGCCATTGCCCAACTACTAAATCAGATTGCTGGGAAATGGTGATCCTGCCCCAGTCGGCAATGGCTGTGCTTGTGAGTGCTATGTGAAATGTTGCAAGAGAGTTTTGGACACCAGCAACTTGACTCCTGGCCACCTCTGCCCCAATTAAATGTATTTTCAAATTCAGCAGGGGGAGTTAATGCACCTTCTAATATTTTTGTTTATATAGTAAGTAATTCTTCAATAACACATCCTCCTCAGAAGAACTTCTCTGGCCCTCAACAGAACTAACAAACATTAAACAGAAAGAAAGGAGGTGAAGGGGCAGCAGCAGAGGGGGTGGGAGACAAAGAGGAGGCAAGAAGTACACAGAAGGGTAACAAAATTTTTGATTCGAAGAGCACCAAGAGCTCTGACCAAATGCTATAGAATTTAATGCTAACACCAGTTATCCTAAATGCTGCAGGCCCCATTTAAAGACACAGTGGTCCTCACTTTAAAAGTCAAATGCTCTTTAGGCTGAATTGTGTGACTATTGCTGCCCAGCTGCTGCCCAGCCCTACAGGCTTTCATATGATGCAATCATCCAGAGAGATATCCATGGATTTAATTGAGAGCCAAAAAATCCCAAAGCTGAATCGAGCAAAGCAAATTTTTGTTCTACCTCTCACTGAAATGGATAAGTGACATGCCTGGACCATAACAAAAGTATTTTTTTTAATGTTGTCACTTAATGGAAAAGAAATCCCAACAGGATGGCCAGCTGTGTTTCGAATCATAGGAGAGTTGGAAGGGGCCATGAAGGCCATCGAGTCCACCCCCCTGCTGTTGCAGGACACCACGTGACACATCCCACTCAGGTGGTCTAGCAATCTCCTTTGCAGCAAGGGCATCCCATTCTATGGTTGGAACAGAAGTCTACTCTTGGTACTAGAGTGGGACAAACAAAAATAAGGTTTCAGGGTATTCCCAGATAATGAAAAAGTGTTGTTTTTAATTTTTCACCTGAAAAATTGAGTGGGAAGTGACAGACGGCACAGTCTGAGCATACCGGCACAAGCTGTTCAGGTCTTAGGACTGAAAAAGCTCCAAGCACCCCAGCTTGCTCCCCTCCCTCCCTTGAACTGGTATGTTACATGTAATTGGCTAGGTATCCAAGAGACTAAAGCATTGGGAGCTGGCAGCTGCATTACAGCCAGGTCAGTATCCCAAACATCTGGATGTACTGAGCTACAGCTGCTCCAATTCAGACCAGCCTTTAATGCAGTCACATCTTAAAAGGTCTTAGTTATGCCCAAGAACCTATTCTAGAGGCCTGGGCCATAAAAGGTTACACTGCCTTGCAACTAAGTACACAAATAAATTTTCCAGCAGTAAAAAATAAACTTTGCTTGGCTGTATGAACATAGCCAGCAAAGATCAACAACTGGCTTGCCTTCTTTCCCATTGTGACCATCTTTTAGTAGCTATTTCCACCAACTGCAGAAAAATTGTGAGATGGGACAGAAGGGCCATGTCGTTCCCCCTCTCCCTGGGACATGACTCCATTTCAGCTCTGCTCATCATAAGAACAGTTATATAACTGAGAAATAGTGCGCAACTTTGCTTGTTTTTCTTCTCTATTCCTTTGTATAATATCAAAGATTGTAAGCCTCCAAGCAGGATGGTCTTGTTCTTAATTTTTGGATATTCAGTAGAAAATGTGAAGTGCATAATATATGAATTATATTTTTGTATCATGAGTATTTACATTTATATTCCACCTTTTCCTCCAAAGACCCATGGTGATCTACATGATTTACCTCCAACCCATTTCATTATCACAATCACCCTATAAGGTAGATTAGGCTGAGAGTCAGTAAGTGACCTGAAGGTACCCTGCGGCCACGGCTGCAGAGGGACTTGAACCCAGGATTCCCCAGTCCCATTTTGATACTCTATCCACACTGGTTGTCTCTTTAAAAGGTTAATTTTATTTTTAAGGCAAGAAACCTATCTGTCACAAAAATCTTACAATGGCCTTATAGTAACAAGATATTTATTGTTAGCATCCAATGAATGTAATCAGCGTAATCGACAGCATAGGAATACGGACAGTGTAACTACGAATGTGTCTGGAAGACCTCAATAAACTAAAGCCCAAGGAATTCCAAAGCACTCAAAACTCATACAGTGGGGTACTGTTTGCCTATCAGTTACGAGAATGCAAACTTTGTACAAATCCTGCAGTTGTCTCTTGAGCTAGACTAAGGAATGCATTCTGAGGCAGAGGTATCACTGTGCTGTTTGACTAATCTGAAGTCAGGACACTCAGAGGCTTTATTTTTAAAGACTTAACCTCAACGTTGAGAAGTGGGCATGTGTAATTAGGCAATGAAATGCTGTATGAGAGGAAATGTCTGGCTTCTCTCATCTGTTTTTCTTGGTTATAAGGCTGCAGTCTTAAGTATCATTGCCCAGTAAGCATTAAAATTATACGAGCCACTTTGAGAGATATCAGACATGTGTAAATGTGAGAAATTATTGCAGTCTGCCAGTGGGAGTTCTTTCCAAATACATTTGAGTTAGGCTGTATATAATTTTTAAACAGTTTATGTAAAAACACATACATCCAAACAGTGGGGAAGAAGATCATGAAAGTAGCTGTGTGTTCCCTGTGGAAAAGATGAGATAGAAATGTAATGCTTCTTTTCATCCAGCATCCCAGGGTGACTTTTACATCCCAGTCTCACATTTTGTTGCATAATTTATACATAAGTAAAACTGCAATCTAGTCTTCTAGGACACTGTCAAATGCACGATGATAAACAGGGTTCTCTAATTAGACCCTCCTGCCTTTTTCTGCTTTCTTTCTATAAACCAAACATGCCCAGAGTATAAAATACCCACAAAACCAAATAACAGTAGGCCATGTGGGTGCTTTTTGTTACCCTATGTAACGTAAATATGTTGGAGCACAAAATGACTTAGCTTGGTGTACCAGGAAGCGGAGTAAACCCCTCCTTCAATCCCAAACTGGAATCCATTGTAGTAAAGCATTCCTACTGGTTTAAAACTGACTGGGGAAAGCATTGTTATGCTGATCATAGGCTGATGTAGGTAACTTCAGAATGAATCTTTCCTGCAGCTGAAAACTGAAATCCATTGTTAGGTTCCAAAAAACGGCCTTTCATAGGGGCCATTTGTATTGCCAGAGAAAGTTTTGTGTCTGAGGTAGCAAACTGACTGCAGATATTTGTGGTTTTTTGATGCTAGATGAAGGTTATAAAACATACACTGGAAAATCGGCACACAAGAGCGCTGTGACTCCTTAAAGCTCAACAACATTATTGCTAAGCTTTCATGGGTGGATCACTTATTTAACAGATAATCATTATGAGATTAATATGTGTAAGTGATTTAAAAATATAATCGGTGAAGTTCATCAAATGCATGAAAAGCTTGGGCAGAACAATCCTAATCAAAGCCCTGCAGGGTTTCTAGCTGGCAGAATAGAAGGGAGGAAGCAGTGTGTTCATTCCTTTTTACTCATTCCCTCCCACTAAAATCAACAGGAAGGGACTAATCTATGCAAACCGCTGGGCAGGCATAGATTACTAGCTGGTTTGGGGGTGTGGCCAGAGTTACAAAGGAGAACTGTGGCTTTTTCAAATCCAAAGCTTCTCCCCTCCCCCACATGCCTCTGTGCCCCCACTCTGAAGTTCCAGTTTTGGAGAGGTAAGAGACATAGATGTTTCCATAGGGGCTGGAAGGATCCAACTTAGATATTCTACCCATGAAAGGGACACCCTGTTGCAGCTGGGACAATCATCCCATGGACCACAGGGTTTCAGTGTAATACTTTTTGTCTTAAAACATATATATGTGTGTGTGTGTGTGTATGTTAAATGCATGACTGACAAAACATAGATGATGATCTATGTAAATACGCTGGCTACCATCTTCATCAGGCCACACATTGCAAACTGAAGTGAGGTCAAGGAATGCTGAGGCCAGAGAAAATTCTCCAGAATGAAAGAGCTGCTGCTGAAGTAGTGGAAAGGCTTGAAGTACAATCTTATGCATGCTCAGATGGAGTAAGTCCCACTGTGTCCATGTCTGATGGGACTTAACTCACTCCTGTGTTTAAGATTTCAGTTTTAAATAAGGATTAAACATGTAGGCAACATTTTTGTTTGCCTCTTTTTGATATTTGTAGTGCTTGTCACCAGTGCTATATGAGCTTTTGACTTCAAGAGTTCTCTAGAAAGTAAGACAAAAATATGATAAAGACTACAAGTTTAAATGTTATCCTGTAATTTGTGATGGGGTATTAGATACATCTATCTGTATATCCAGAAGTACTCTCTTGCTGCAGATGTCCCAGGATTCAATGGCTTTTCTATTGGAAATATTTCTAAATAAAACATGTCAATTTGCAACAAGCTTCACAGGCTCTTTGTTGTTGCTTTACAAAATCCTGAATATATAACATTGAAGTTGTTGCATGCAGTACACTGGGGAAACATCTGTGTTGTTCGTTGAATTTTATGGCACTTTATGCATTTTAAAAGAGGTTGGCTGTTTTCTCAAAGCAGCTCGAAAAGCCAGATAAAAGCAAAGAAGCGACTAAATCAGAGCAAAATAGAGAAATTAACCACAAGCAAGCTTAAATAGAGAAACTTTGTAGCCCTGGCAAGAAGTGCAAGCTAAACAGCTTGACCCATTCCAAAGCCTAAGAGCTACAGTAGCAAAGGCCTGCTATCAGCTGCTAGTATTTTAATATAACATAAAAAAGACATCAAGACCAGAGCCTCATCTCCCAAATCTCAATGGTCCAGCAGTTGATAGTGGGAGAAGCAGCCCCCTATTCCGTTTAACACAATAGGATTTGCCAATCATTCTGCATTTCACTGTGTATCTCCCTGTAATAAATACAGGTAATACAAGCCAAGGACAGAGACACGGGCCCTTTAAATGGTGGTTCCAGAATTCTGGAACTTCCACTCTGTGGAGGAAACAGAGCATGTAAGATGTACCGCGAAGACCCTTTGGCCCACAAAGCTTTCTAAGAAAACCTACTGTCCCAAAATGCCAAATCCTGAACTCAGTTTTAAAACTTTCCTGCCAAACTACTTTCCACTGTTCCTTTTCTATGGTTTTTACTCATATTGGAAGCCGCTTTGTTAAGAGATGGGCCAATAAAATAAATAGCAATTCAATTGACAACTATTAAGTAAAACACCTGTATTTATTTCAAGAACATCGACAGTTTCCAAGGAAGAGAGGCTGGGATGGCTTATCACACAATACACAGCAATCGCAAATCAGGTTTTACAGATAATCCACTACAAGCATTTTATGCATATGCGACTTGACTGACATGAGCGTCAACTCCACCTTGGCAAGACTATCAGGTTCCCGAAATCGCACGGCTTCCACGTATTTGCTTTTCCTAGGGTGCAATCCTATACAGGGTTAGTCTGGAAAGAAGACCTACAATTCCTAGCGTACCCCAGCCAGCCATGTTTCCTGGGGCATGCTGGAAACTGTAGGCCTGCGTCGAATTGCAAAGTTTCATGCTTTACCGTACAGTTATACACACTTTACCCGCGACCGGCCATGCTTTCGCTCTAGCCAGTGGCACCCGTCACTTGGCAACAACCAACCACGCCTCCTCTCCTCGGAATAATAAACTCCTCGCATCTGCTCTCTGCGTTCAGCCGACGATTCTGCCGCTTTTCCCTCTCAAGCGCCCCACATGCGCTCCACCTGACCAGGCGCGCTTCCTCATGCTCCAAGCCCACGACACCAGCGCAACCAAAAGCGGGGACCGCCCCCATCGGTCTGGTTCCAACCAATGGGCATGATCCGCTTTCGCCCCGTCAGCCAATAGATCCCCTTCTGTAGCCCACGCCCCTCCCACCCCTCCGTGAAGTGCGAACCTGACTCCACCCACCTCCCCTTTCGGAGTCAAGCGGAGGAAAATCGGGAGGAAGGCAGTGTATGCCGGATAACTCCGCGATCGCGCTACAATCATGTGATCGGAAGTAGTATATGGCCCGAGCAGGATTTCTTCCGCCTTTATCGATTGGTTTTTGTTACCAGGGAAGACTGAGACCTTTGGGGAAGCATTGATTGATCAGGTAAATGTCCAGCTTAGCTTTACGCAGGAGGGATTGCCTCTGTGAAAAGTGGGTCTGGATAATTCTTATGTTTTGCATTTATGTGGTCATGTTGCCTGGACATGTACATTAACTGAGAGAGTCTTATAGTAGCTCTGAAAGGTAGGTTACTGATAGAATCCAAATATTAACGATTTCTAAAGGCATAGTAGGCTAATTTGTTGCCAAAAAAAAAAAGAGTCTTGTGACCCTTTGAAAACAAGCTGAGGTAGGCGATGGTCCATGGAAGCTTATGCCAGAATGAATTCGCTTTTAAGGTGCCTGTAAAGATGCTCAGGGTATGGGAAAGAGAGGGTCTTATTTGTATGGCTCTATGACCTTAGATAATTTTAGGACCCAGAACTTCCTGAATTGTAGTTTAGCTACACTCTATCCACTTGTTGTTAGCTATAGATATTGATGGATGATGGTGGAGGACAGCCAAGAGTGTTTTGATATCTGAAGGCCTAAAAAAAATATTTTGCCATAAATGTACATGAGCTACAACTTAGATACTTGGATGCCAGAAATGTTATCTTCTGATATGTGTACCTGTGGGTGTAGAGAAAATATAGTACATAATGGGGCAATAATGATGGGAGAGGGGATGATGAGGTTGAAAGGACAGCATAACTAAAGTTCATGGAGAAAGTAGGATTTGTGCTGAGTCTCTCTGCTTTCACAGTTCAACGCTGCATGAACTGTGTAAAAAACTTCCAGATACTTTTGTTAAAGTTCTGTGTCAAAATTTGAATTCAGAAAGTGAAACGACTTGCATGCTTCAGCCTGGGCAAATCACACTATGGGAACAATTCCTTCAAGGAAAAAAAAAAAGATTCTCACACTGCATGTATGTTTAGCGGTGAAAACAGATGAGATAAAGGAGGAAAAGAATATTCATTAAACTTGAACAGGTGATAGGGGAAATTACTGGTTTTCAAGGAGTGTGTTATCAGAATGGCTCTGGTGATAGGCAGTGTATTCAAAAACAATTTGGCATGTGAGAAGAGCAGATGTAAAGAAAGAACAGCAAGAATTATCTTATTACCACCCATCATAAGAACCAAGTAAAAAGCATCAATGTTATCACTATACTGCAAATGAGAGTTGAGAACAAGAAAGCAAATTTCCTTGGGCCCATTCAGTGAGTTAGTAGCACAGGTGAAATTCAGGCTGGGAGCTTCCTGAGTCACCACTAAATCTCATAAATGTGGGCTCCCCATCAGGTCTGAGGGCAGGCATATGTGTGAAGAGTGCTGGGTCATTATGTAGGGGTTTGGAATTGCCAGGTGAGGTGGATTTGCCTCCTTTTCAGTGGAAGAAGGGAAATCTCAGATTGAGGAGGCAGAAGTGAGGGTTGGTGGAGATGTGATTTTTACAGCCAGTCTCCACTCTTCTTGCCTGTTTTCAACCTTGCCCAACACACTCTTTTCTCAGCATATTTATTTTCAGTATCTTTGTGAGAGCAGATGGACATAACACACTTGGAAACTTTATGGAAAAGAAAGTCGCAATCATAGATTTGAGATCAATTAGGACAAGGGGAGGGATGTTGTTAAGCTTCAGTTCCCATCAACCTAAGTCAGCATGGCCAATGGTTATGGGCAGTGAGTTTTACAACAGCTAGAGAGCCCCAGGGTCTCCACAAGTTATGTGGAAATGGTTGAGATCTCTAACTGTTTTAGGCAATCTGGCAACCACTTGATGATTAGGTCTACAGTTTTCATTAACCCCAACTAGCATGGCCAATGCTAAGGAATTCTGAGGGCTGTAGTCCAAAATAACCAGAAGACACTGTGCTGCCTGTCCCTGCTCTTTAAGAAAAAAAATCCCTAAGAATCATTGGGCTGTATCCTTGAATCACATGGCCCCACCCTCTGGGTCTCAATGATGAGGGGATCAGGAGGGAAGGGACTGCTTTGGTGTCTGAGGAAGGGTAAGGATAGATTTTGGAGAAAGGAATCAACATCTGTAGGGTTTCTGGGAGCTACTCATGACTGCCTTGGTGAACTGTTTCTAGCTGTAAACTCCCTTGGAGGCCCTCTGTGGATTGGTTGAATGGCCAAATGTACTAAGGAAGGGATTTCTACTTCCTGGACCCCACTGATTCCTATTTGCCCAATGAACTAACCTCCCCTTCTTTGTGGATTTATTGTGTACGCTGTGGGAACAATAAGAGATTTGTTGATAGAAGGTTGGCCTTGTGAGTGAGAAGGAAAAATACTGAAGTGTATGTAGCTAAAGAGGTTGAGATGGTGGAACTGAGAAGAGGGACAAGTCATAAGTACAGCTATAAGGGCCAGGCCTGAAATGGAGGACTGAGAATGAGGACTGCAAGATCTGTCAAGGCTTGCTATCTTCTTGTAAGTCTGTCTTAAACTGGTGAGAATTTGGATTATAGAGCAGATCTTATCTGAGAATGAAGTCAACTGCTGCTTGAAGCTGCTCCTTGACTCATTGTTGGGAATGTTTGACTCTTCCTGTACCATTTTCAGTGGGCTGTTTCTAAGCTGAATTCAGTGTTGGCTATTAGCATTAGGCTACAATCCTGTACAATGTATAATATTCAACTGCAACAAAGTCTTGTAGAATTTAATCCAGTGTAAGTACATATGTGTATGTGAGATACATGTACATACATATATATATAGAGAGAGAGAGGGGGGGGGGTTATGCTGCATAAGATCTAAATGGGCATAGGACTAGGATAACTATATTGCATCTTACCATGTGAATGTGGTTATTTTCAGAAGTCAGTGAGAGAGGCTCTGTTGTATATCTCACCAATAGCTGATTAAAAAAAAAAAAAAGGAACACATGATAGGGCCTCCTCTGTTGCTGTGCCCAGGCTTTGGATATCCTGCCAGGGGAGATTTGTTTGGCTGTCATCTTGAGGAGTCTTTGTTCTAGCTGAAGGTTTTTTTATTCCACTAGGCCTTCACTCTCTTGGATGTTTTGAATATTTCTTCTTTTTTGTCTATTCGCTCACCCTTTGCACCAGCTTTCTATTATCTGTTGTTCTTTATTTAACTCTTCATTTGGTTGTGGTTGCTTTGTATAATTTTGGCTCTCTTTTGAGCCACCTTGAGTGTCACAGCAAGACAGGACAGGATTTTGAAAGTACAGCTATTTCCTCGAAACTTCCTTGTTTCTCAGCTGGATTAATAACAGGGGGAGAGCTAAGCTTGCTTAGTGCCTGCCCCCCCCCAGCAGCCCCCCCCCTCTCCAGTTTCATTCTCAGAGTAGGAATTTGCATCTCTGTACCTCCTCATATATTTTGCATGTGTCTCTTCTACTATGGAAAGAATAACCTGAAGGTAATAAATACCTGTGGGCTGCTTAAACAATGCAGAGCTAGGATTGCTTTTTCTTTAGTAAATGTACCAGGGCTATGTTCCACAATGTCTGAACCTGGCACTTTGGATTGTAAAGGAGAAACAATCCAGAGTTTTAACCCAACCACAAAATCATGGGGTAAAATGCTTGGGGTTTTTTTCCCTTCAATAATTCTGAGTGCCCGGTTTGGAGAACTCAGAACACAATTCTGGAACAGGACATTCCTGGACTGTTGACCAAAGTGAAAAGGAACAAATGATTTCTGGCTAAGAAGTAATTTCCTCCTCACCCCCAGCTACTCATGCTTGTAACAACTTGTGATTGTTGCTATATGTGTAGCTATACAGCCTGAATATTTTTACCTTGAAAATATTCCCATACAGAGTCTTGTGACCTGCATCATGGCAGCTTGATGTTAACAGCATGATCTTATATTAGTCTAGCCAGAAATAACTTACAGTAAGTGCAATAAGTCTTATTCCCTTGCAAGTGAGTATAGGAGTAAAGCCTAAGCACCAGAACGTAGAAAGATGCACACTGGACAATTCTGACTGAAAAAACTGGATGCTAATGGCAGGTCAAAGCAAGGTTTGATAGTTACTGTGTGAAGTTGGAAAGTTTGTTTTCATCAGGTGAAAATTAAATGCTTATTTTTAGTAGGCAATAGTGTCAATATTCATATTTGAGAAATGACCAAATCAGTTCTTCATTTCCATAGAAAAGTCTTTAACTATTTTATTGAGGCATTGATTGAATTTAGAGATTGAATGCATGGCTTTCAAGCTTCTATCCAGATTATTTAATGTCAACCTAGCTAAGATAACCCATAATTTTTAAAATCAATTTAAATTTTTAAAAATCTCCTTTTTTTGCTATATTGTCATTCTGCCATAATTAACTTCTCTGCTTTGCTTAACATATTTCCACCACCACTTAAGCACAGAACAATAAAACTATTCAGCCTGTAATTTTAGTCAAAGAAACAGAAACTGAAAGCTCACAGAACTGGTAGTTAGGTTGGACATAACCATTCTTCTAAAATGACAAGCTAATGTGAATTCTTGATTGAATTTCCATCATGTGCATGTGTCATAATTCATTTTATGAGATACTGTTGATTTAGCATACACACACACACACATATAATGAGACTTAGCAGTAACTATGTAATTTTTAATATAAGTGTAAAAAAATAAATGAAATGAAGGCTGCAACTTAAATTTTAAAAGCCAATTTATATTTCAAGGTCAGTTTCTTAATTTGCCTTGATGACTACTCCTTTTAAAGGACACATCCAGCTCAAGCAGTAGAGACTATATAGCTTAATTTTTAGCCAATATTATCCCTGAAAAGATTGCAAAGTTGTTTTTTGTTGCAGTTAACTTAAAAGCCCAGTTAACATGTTCTGGATTTATCTAGCTCTGATGGTATTTATGTGTTTTCTGTGTGCGTTTGCACACTCAGTATTTCCAGTGTGATCATGGACTATTACAGATCTGTGTTCTGGGATTTGGTGCTTTACCCAGAGGGCATTGTGTAGCATGTGGCTATCCCTATAGAATAAAAGTTAATCTTCATGCGTGTCTTCTTCTGAAACAGATGTATGACTTTAAGGGGACAAGGGATGGTGAACAGAGTGATAACTA